CCCTTGAATTTCGTTGAGGGTCTGTAAGTGTAGCATTTCCCTTATCTTTCTCTCCATCCCCACCTTCTCCAGAGATAGGCAAACATAACACAACAGTTGCTGGTCAGGAAAGAGGTTATGCTATGATCCAATTAACAAAAGTAAAACAAGTTGTGAAGCCAAAGTCAGTTGCGCCACAAAATCAAAAGGTTGAAGGAACAAAACCTTCTCCAATTTTTTTTTTGACCATTTACAGGAGGGAAAAATCCCTACCGTGTTCTTTTTTCATTAATAGTGAGGGGTTAGAAAGTCTTACAAGATGGCATGATTATGCTAGTTACAATCAGTTAGTAAGGACATGTTTGCATAAGAAAACAAGAAATATACTTATACGAAAACAAGAAATATACACCCGTTTCAACCTTTGCCTCGACAACATCACAAATCTTCATAAGATCATAAATTTTCAGGTTTGATGCAGCAAGCGAGCAACATCCTCACCTACCAAAACATGAGCATATTTAAGTCAGTTTACAAAATAATGTATGTATCATGGATCAAGCAAGCAAAAACAACATAAAGTTAGGATCCCTCACCATATCTGGATGCGACTGAACATTACATTTCAAGGCCACATGAGATGTCTTCTGCTGAATCAACTGAATGCAATAGTAATAATGCTGAAGGAAAATAATGAAGATTTAACGAAGATAAGCAATGTAGAGTTGTAGACTACACGCGTGAAATTGATTTCTATAAAAAATTAGAGTTATTGTTGAGAAACAATTCAAACACACATATGTTTTTTTTTACAAAAACATCATGAACACTAAAGAAAGCAGCCAAGTTTCTTTCCATTGGGAAGCAATTCTGTATGGACACCAAATTGTACCTCCATGGCAACCATCACATTAAATTAGATCATGTCGTGCGTCGGGCGGGGGCGAAGGGTATGTAGTGGTAGGTAGTAGTGTTGGCGCCAATGATGAGCAGAGGAGAAGGAGAGGCCGGAGGTTGGTTGCTGCGGCAGAGGAGGAGGTAGGAGGAGCCGGCGAGGAACGGAGGGCACCTGCGGCATACTTGCGGAGGTCT